CCCTCATGGCGTGCAGTTCTGCTGTAATTGATTTCTGCAGGACTGCATTGGCTTCCTTGAGGTCTGCTTTAGTGGGTAGGTTGCTGAGTACCTTCAACCAGTCCAGGGGGGGCTCCACCGTGCCGGTGGCATCGAGTTTGTCCCTACTGGGAGGCGACAGCGTGTTGTCCGTGGCCAGGGACTCGTTTGAGGCCTGGGACGCGAGGTCGGCCGGGGTGACCAGGTAGTGTCTCACTGAGGGTGCCGGGGACCCCCTAGGGGTGTCCGTGGACTTCACTGCGTATGTGGCTTTGTTTGATTTCCCCATTGTGCGGTCCTGACACGTGGCGCGGCGAGGAAAAGTGCAGAGCCAGTGGGGAGCTCCCTCACTAAGCCGCCATCAAGTTCTGCGTCCAAGCCACGCCCCTCCTGCATATTGATTCTAAATGGATTACAGAACTCTGCTTGCCTACCCAATATAATAGATAAGCATGGTGATAGTTGCAGTCCTTTTGATTTTTATCCCTCTTCCCCTCACCCTCCGAAATCTTCAGCTATTTCTCCCCTCTCTCAGTACATAATGGCATAGGCAGCAACCCGGAGTCCTTTACAAGATACTGAAGGCAGATCTGTGATGTAACAGGATCATGGCCCATGTTGTCTGAAGGAAGTGTCCAGGTGACTGTCAGTAATTAGATAGATATAATCTGGCTGATTAACCCCTCAAGGATGGAGACAATTGTACAAGTTCTAATCAAAGCAAAAACAAAACCTAGAATATGAGCGATATGTTGTTCAACCATAATTTACCTATTGTATTTTATGTGTATCCACACTTATTATATATCATTTGTCCAGGAGATAAAGAAAGGGCTTTGGGGGCGGAGCCTGACCACCAATGCAAACGGACGAATGAGTTCATAGCTCTGTCTCACTGGATTAACAATCAGCCACTATCAGTGCACCAAATCATGCATCCAAACCTTAAAATGATACCAATCACTGGTCTAATAGATACCCGATCCCTTAATCGATGGGGGGCACACAAAAAAGAAGGATCTGCCTCCTTCAGTCACTATAATAGTCCAACTTCTACACTTCACAGCCAAGGAATGGCTGATGGCGGTCATACAGAACACTCCACTGAAGTTCCAGGAGCACATCCTATCCTTCTACCAGGACTAAAGCCTCTCATCAATGTTTTAACCCAGCGAGGGCTCAAAAACATGTGGGGCCACCCGTTTAAGCTAATAGTGTGACAAGACGACCAAACCCTAGTTCTGTACCACCCCTCAGAAATGAAGAACTTTGCTACGTCCATGGGCCTTACCCTCCCACCCTCAAAGGGGCAGAGATTAATGTGGTGAAAATAACCTCGCCACTGGGGTTTGGAGGGGCCTGTTTGCTAGCCTTTTGCCCCAGGATTATGGGCCCTGCAAAAAGACAGGCTAAAAAAATGACTTCCATGGGAAAATGTGCCTATTCCCCTCCCCTTTTTCCTGTCCAATTGTTCCCCAACAGGGCGTTGCCCCAGGGACACTGCCAGACCAGTTGAGACTCAGATCCAAGCTATCAGATCCAAGCTATCTGGGGATATGTTGGACATATAGGTTAAACATTGTATTATAAGAGTTATATATTTTTATGTGGTTTTTGTAACAGTTTTTGACTTAGAGATATTTCCTGTACTTGGAGATAATTAAGTTACCACAGCCACTTATCATCTCCAGGATAGAGAAGAAGATAGACCGGCCGCACAGCCTAAATCTGTGGAACTATTTTGGGCTTGAAAGCCATACTTGCGGTCGTTCAAAAGAGACTTCCAGGAATTTCCTGAACCCCTGCTCTGATCTGGGTGATATGCTATACACCCAGATTAGGGCTATCCAGTGATGTATAATTTATGGGGATATGTGGTGATTTGGGGTGTATTCTGTGTTTTGTGAAAAATTTGTGTTTTCTGCCTGTGGGTAATTGAGAGGAGGGTTTGTGTACATTATCTGGGAGTGTCTATCTGTACAAACCTGTTTTGATTGGCTTTGTAACTTTGTATCCTGTGTTCCACAAGGTCCACATGTGTGGTAACCTTGTGGGAAAAACCTGTATATAAGAGACAATAAACCCTAAAACTGCTGAGTTCCTGTTTTACCCTCAACATAGAGCCTCATCTCATGTGTGGGGGAAAAGGCTGCATCTACACTGGGGATTGCTATATGCTGTATACTCCCCTGGCTATAATCATTAAGCTCTTTTAAGAGCTTGTTCCTGGTACTCTCTCTTGGAGGAGAGATTTACCCACTGGAACCTGGAGCCTTGCCATAGGTCCAGGGTGTGTAGAGGACGGAGAGACCCCAACCAAGCTGCGGCGGTTCGTGGGGTCTGTGGTGCTTATGGTGTCTGTTGCGGTGCTGATAGTCCTTGGTAAGTACTAGGAGCATCTATCAACAGAGGTACCCAGTCGAGGTGCCAGGTGGTCCGTTACAATTAACATCAAGTCCTGTATGCTCGGACAAATCCTCTGAGTGCAATCTAATTGTTGGGGTAAGTCCTGGCTGTTGGGGCAGATACTGTGAGTGCAATCTCAGTGCTGGAATGCGTAAGTCTTGGGTGCTAGGGCAAGTCATGTGAGTGCAATATTCATGCTGGGGTAAGTCCGGGGTGCTCAAGCAAGTCTTGTGAGTGCAATTTGCATGCTGGAGTAAGTCGGTATATCCCCCAGTATATACACATGGAGACCACAATGTAAACATGTCGCCCACAGTAGACAGACACCGGTCACACAATTCAACACATAACATTCCACCAAAGGCACAGTCGGATTAACTATTAGCAGACTTCGACACTCAACTAAAATTAGTAGACACATGGAGGGCACTCCACCCCACCGCCAGGGAGTACATCCTTTAATTTCCACCCACACAACTCCTATTCCAGGATCAACCTGTTTCCTTTCATGCCCATGGTTCAAGTGGCCAAAATAGGAAATATCTCATGGTCGGATCATGCTGATATAACCTTAACTCTCTCCATACCCAACGTAACTCACCCATGGACATGGAGACTAAACCAAACCCTCCTACACAGCCCACTCCTCAAGAACTCTGTACAAAAAGAACCAGCACACAAATAATCACAACTGACAGCACTTGCACAATCCCTCACAGACCTGAGAACCCTGAAAATCCTCCACAAAACCAACCCCTCCCTAGACCTGACAGACCAAATCGCAGAATGCCAGAAATCCATCGAAGAATTTATGGCACAAGACTCCACAAGAGCCCTACAATGGTCAAAACAATTGTTTTATGAGAAATCTAACAAAGCTGATACCCTCCTAGCCAGGCGATTAAAACGCAGGGAAACCCAGAAACGTATAGACCAAGTACATGCACCAGATGGGCAAATCCATGAACTGCTCTCACAAATAGCAGAAGTATTCCAAAATTATTTCACTACTCTATATGAACACACTCGAAACACTAGATAACAACCAGATGTGACACAACGCTCGGTGGAGGATTAACTCAATGCCATACCCCTGCCATCTCTAAGACCAGCAGCAGCTAAACAGATAGGCGCTCCAATTACGTCAGAGGAAATAATTAAAACCATTAAAGCTCTCAAACCAAACAAGAGCCTGGGCCCAGATGGGCTCCCTTATCTCTGCGACTTATTTACTGTCAGGATTACAGTATGATCCAGCATGTAGAATTGTGTAACACAGAGGACTGATAGGTAACGTATACCGACCTTAGAATGGCCGGACTAACATACCAAAGAATAGTCAGGAATAGCCGAGGTCAAGGGACACAGAAAGAGACACAATGATAAGGAAAAGCCAGGGGTCAGGGATGCCAGAAAACAGGGAAGTCAAAAACAATGCCAAAGTCAAATAACCAGAATTACCAGAATCAATAACACGCTCTCGGACAACCACAAGGGAAACCACGACAGGGCACTGAGCAGGATGAGAACTGGGCCTAAATACCCCTCCTCTGGATCTGATAGGGTGTAATAGGCCTTTGACCCCAAAGGCAGTTACCAGGTTCTCATTTGCATAATTGCTGCTCAGCACAAACCCTGCTGTGGATTTGTGGATTTCCTGTCTGAATAGTAAATTCCATTAATCACATTTTTATAAGTGGATGAATACGTGACATTTACATAGTTACATAGTTACATAGCTGAAAAGAGACTTGCGTCCATCAAGTGCAGCCTTCCTCACATTTGTTTTTTGCTGTTGATACAAAAGAAGGCAAAAAAAAAACAGTTTCAAGCACTTCCAATTTTGCAACAAACTAGGGAAAAAATTCCTTCTTGACCCCAGAATGGCAGTTATATCTATCCTTGGATCAAGCAGCTATTACCCTACATTGAAAAATTATATCCTTGAATATTCTGTTTTTGCAAGTATGTATCTAATTTGCTGTTTGAACATCTCGACACACTTCTTCAGGCAGAGAATTCCACATCCTTATTGTTCTTACAGTAAAAAAACCTTTCCTTTGCTTTCCTTAGATGAGATTGCCTTTCCCCAGTCTAAACGCATGACCACATAATAGTTTGTATTGGCCCCGAATATATTTGTATAATGTTATCATATCCCCTCTCAGGCAATGTTTTTCTAAACTAAAGAGGTTTAAATTTGTTAACCTTTCTTCATAGCTGAAATATTACATTCCTTTTATTAATTTTGTAGCCCGTCTCTGCACTTTTTCTAGTACCATAATATCCTTCTTTAGAACAGGTGTCAAGAATTGCCCAGCATATTCATTATGTGGTCTTACCAGTGATTTATAAAGAGGCAAAAGGATATTCTCATCCCTAGAATGAATGCCCTTTTTCATGCATGGCAATACCTTCCTGGCCTTAGACACTGCTGATTGACATTGCACATTGTTGCATAGTTTGTTGTCTATAACAATTCCCAAGTCCTTTTCGTGTGTTGTAATCCCCAAATTGCTTCCATTAAGGGTATACGTTGCTTGTGCATTTTTTACGACGAAGTGCATAACTTTGCATTATTCAACATTAAAGCGGCACTGTCATGCCGAATTCTGTTTTTTTTTTAACCCCCCTTCCGCCTCCACTACATCCAATTGACCCACTAGTCACCCCTAAATGCCCCTAAGCCCCCCACATTACCTATTTTTAAATCCTTATTTTCTGCCCCGATCTATATTCAGGGCGCAGCCATCTTTGTGTGGGTAGGTGAAGTCCCTCAGGGACACGTCATCAGCCCACACTAGGCAGACTGTGAGATTCCCGCACATGCCCAGTGAAACACCTGGACATGCGAACGGGAATTTCATCTATTCATTCATTCATCAGACAGACGAATGAGTGAATAGAAATATCAGCCGAACAAACAAACACAATGTATCAGTGTATCTGAGTATCAGTGTATGTTTGTTCGTGCAGTTTATTACAAGGAGGGAGCTACCGGCATGCAGCTCCCTCCTTGTAATATGTAACGATAGAAGCGGCAGGGAGCAGTGCTCCCCACCACTTCATAAGCCCCCCAGGCCCCCCTCACTCTATGGGGGTCAATATGACCCCCATAATAGCACAAGGGAGATAAAAATCTCCCAAATGCCCCTACTCGCTATACCGCGAGTAGGGGCATGTCCACTAAACAGTGAGCAGCCTGTGGCTGCTCACTGTAAAAAAACAACAACAAAAAAAAACAACTATTGGCCCCCACCCCTAAACAGTGAGAATGAGGGGGGGCAGTACTCCCCCCACCCCTGGGCGGCGGGTGGGGGCCATAATGAGAATGGGGGGGGACCTACTGTCCTACCCCCCGCCCCCACCCCTGGGCGGCGGGTGGGGGCCATAGTGAGAATGAGGGGGG